TCTCTTATGGTTTCTTGAAGTAGTTTTTTATAGTTTTCTTTGTATAGGTCTTTTGTGTCTCTGGTAAGATTTATTTCCAAGTATTTTATTTTTTTGGTACCTATTGAGAACGGTATTGATTTCCTTATTTCTTTTTCAGCAATCTCTTTGCTGGTGTAGAGGCAGAGTTGTTTCTTGTGACTCATGATTGAACAGAGTGAGCCAGATGCTGACTGCTTAGAAAGTGAAGTTATACTATAAAAGAACCCTTGTTATCCAGAGGATACATACTGATTTACCTTTTGTACCAATTCATCAAATTACACTTTTGTGGTCTCTGATGTTGCTTTTTATTTTTATGTCTGAGTTTTAGATTTAGCTACATAAATAATGCTTTCAGTGAAGTTTGATGTGGTAGTTAAGGTTGTGCATCAACTTGGCTGGGCCTGGTTTTGAGTGACTGGACAGCTGGATGTAGTTATTTCCCAAGACAAGACTGGTAATCAACTCCATGGTGGAATCTACCATGAGAAGCTGAGCCTTAGAAATGTGATCTGCTTCCAATATATAAGAAGAAGCTTTGAGGAAGGTCTTGACTTTTTGGCACATCTGGATCCTATATTTGGCTGAATCTTCATCTCAATGGCCTGCCACATTGTCTGCTAATCTTGAGACTATTTAACTAATGACCTGCTGGGTTGCTTGATAATTTTGTGACTGTACCATTTTACTTGTTGTCCCTGGGTTTGTCAGCCTCAGCAGCCAACAGTTGTCTGAGCTAAGAGAAGACTCCAGCTTCAGTGGGTCAGGAGCAAGAGGCAGAACTAAAGCCCAAGATTGAGCCCCTAAAGCTGGCACTTTGAAGATGGACTCATAGCAACCCCTCCTTGGGTTTCCGAGGGGGAATCACTATGGAAGTAGACTGCCCAACCTTCCTTCTGAGGTGTGGCTGGTAGGTTTGAACTGCCAGCCTTCTGGTTAGCAGTCAAGTGCCTTAGGCACGATGCTTCCTTATTTCTGGAACAGGGTTTAGTTTGATTTAATTTTTATATGAATCCACAGAAACAAAAAGAATGAAAATCACTTTGAAAATTAACAAATATAATTTGACCCTGTCCATATAATTGTGAAGGAGCTCTG